GTACGCGACAGTTAGCCATATTAAAGCTAAATGGACCCGCCCGCCGCCCGCCACAGTTCGTCCGCATTCAGGGTCGCGCGATTTCTGCATAGTAAATCGTAAGAAAATTTTAAATATCATAAAAAATAATAAAAATGCGATAACGTCAATGCCTTCCTCAGTTTGTTTCGGTGCACGGTGAACTTATTACCGCATGAGACCTCAGGTGGTAAGCTCGCGACATCTATAGAAATCTCTATAACTAACGATATCTAGTTATCCTACTTAACAGTTCAGGATAATAGCCCTTTAGCAAAAATTGCGCCACTCTCCAGCAGGCTTTCCGACCAAGTTCAAAAAAACGCTCATGTATTCTTGTGTACTCTTATATCGGATTCTTATATTACTATGAGCAAACCCAACAAGCCAAGGAAAATGCCGTACGATGGCAGTAGGCATAACTGAATGGAAGCTTGCGACAGTTGGCCAACAACTAGTGGGGTGGAACGCCATGTAGCTTGCCCTAACTAGGGGACGCTAGCTGGCTGATGGAAACCGGCTCATAATGGGGTTGGTGCGCCTTGCTTGCGAAGGGCATATCTATGAATACGTGCAAGCGTGGATTAATCTAACAACTGCCGCCAAAAATGCTTCGGCTGGCGACAAACAAATTAGGGAAGGGATCTTTGGCAACATCAGACTCGTCCACATAGCGGCGCTTGCCCGATGTACCGACGCAAGGCCCATCTGAGCATCCCGGGTTACACCTTCGCTGTGTTACACTCGGGTACGGTAAAATAATAAGGTTTTTTATGCGGGTATGGAGAACATGACCATGTTTCATACGTATATTTATATAGAAAATATATAGATTTATGAGATGAATCACGCTTTATAAATCGGCAATGTCATCTCGGATGGAGCGCCCTCCTTGGCAGCCGCCCGAGGCTCTCATGACCTCGTCAATGCTGCTCATGTAAGCGGATGCATCCTTGCGCAATTATGCATACAATAATCCGCATCCAGATACAAGTATAAGTATACGTGCACGGCTCTAAAGGAGCTCCCTTAGAGCCGTCCCTCTCAAGAGGCTTGGGGTTGCTCCAAAGGCCTCATACATCACGGTGGCTTACATCCAAAACATATGTAGTAGTGACTATTGACGTAGGGGAGTTTTTCTTCCCGTTCCATAATATACACGGATGGCACGCATTGCAGTCATCATTAATTATAATAATACATTGCGTATTGCTCCAAGCTGAACTACAGATAGGCTGCTGCTAAGGATGGTTACCACAAAATAGCGCCCTGCTGAAGGGGCGCTCCGTGACGTCGCCAACATAACGACATAAGTTTCACTAATCTGCTGTGTGAACTTGTGTGTCATGGACATCACGTGTTTCTTACTTCGCACAGAGTCTTAATGGGGGCCATGTCGGTGAGCGCAGTCGACATGTCAGGTACGGCGTGTTGGCGTCGGTTATTGGTTTGTGTAGTTGTTACAGTGGGCTCGTGGTGATTGGCCAGACGTGTGTTTAGCGAAGTTGGGAACCGCTATGCAATGTAAATCGTCTTACGTCTCGCTACCTCATCTTCCGACCAACACAGTAGTGAGTGCCTTACTCGCTGCCTTGAGGGCTTTCTGGGCTGTTACGACATGATGGTGACCGCCAGCTTGCCGCCGCTAAACTTACAATCTGTTCGCTCGCCTTCACGCCTGGAAAGCCCTCCCAAGCTGTCCTTCGCCCCGTTTGTAAACACACACACATATATACACGGCATCGTCAGGAGTACCCCCGCGACCGCCCAGACTGCCTCCACCGTCGCCTCCGCCAAATAGGGGTCCCTCCCCTCCCCACCCGCCTTCACCACGACCGTCCCCTGTACCACCATCTCCTAGCCGGGCAGCTCCCCCCTTCCCACCAGCCCCACCCTCTCCAAGAGTCAGATCGCCTCCACCCTGGCCCCCACCGCCAAGATCACCCCGAGTTGTGCAACTCCGCATGGCGCCATTTCCCTCTCCTCCTCCTCCCTTTGGGCTGCGGCCCCCATCTCCACCACCACCACCACCACCGCCACCGCCGCCGCCCCCCATACCACCACCGGAACCCCCTCCCTTCCCACAGGTTTTCATACGACTACCATCACCGCCGTTGCCCTCCCCACCACAACCCCCGGACATGCCTGAACAATATCCTCCTAAGCAGCCACAACCTCCATCCAAGCCCCCTCGGCCCCTATTGAACCATCCATCACAACCATCGCCACCTTCACCTCCACCCATACCCAGATCTCCTCGCTCTCCACCCAGACCTCGTCGTTCATCACCCACTCCTCCAACACCGCCGTCCCCGCCGTCTCCGCCGTCTCCCAGAACCCCAGGGCTGTTTCTGTCCCGTCCAACCCGTCCAACCCGTACATCCACCAGGCCCCCAAAGCCAAGCCCCCGGTCGCGCCGGCCACCACCAGATGGGCTTCCTCCACCATCAACTAGTACACCCTCACCCTCGCACTCCAACAGGCGCCCATGGCCTTCCCCGTCGCCCCTCTGGCCGACTTCCGTCTACATACAACCGCCTCTCAACCCTCGACGCTCATCACGCTTTCCACCCCTGCCTCTAAGACAGCCTCCAAGACTTTCTTTCCCTCCACCTATCTCGCCCACCAAACACTGCCACCTTCTCCGCCCTCTCTGCCACGGCCCAGACCCCCTCAGCTACAGCCGATGCCAAGCAGGTCTCCACCGATGTCCGCAAGAGCACCCTGGCCCTCATCGCCACCTACACCTCCTCGACTGCTACCCTACTCACCTCGCCCAATACCACCTCCCAGTAATGCAAAGAGCGCCTCCACCACCATTATTACCACCCAAGCCACCATCGCCTCGAATAGTATAAAACCCCACTATCATCAACACCTGTCACACGACGCTGTATGTTATACCGTCTTCTCTTGTCAAGGCTGCTATTGGTACACCACCATCAGCTCCTGGTACCTGTGGCATCTGGCAGTGCATGTGATCACCCAGATCTAGAGGGCCCAGTCATCACCCGGTTACCCCCGGGGTCAGAGGAAGCGCATAACGGTTACATGCTGGCCGGTCGGTAGTTTCAGTGATTTCTGGTCTTTGTGGATGCTGTGTTCAGCAGGTGCTGTGTTTGGTGGTGATGGTCCGGACTTTGAATGTTTAATTTGGTGTATACATATACATCAAGGTTAGGCACTACTGGTAAGGCAGGGACCGCTGCCCCCGGGAGATCCCGAGATTGAGACTTGTCAGGGTTAAAATTTTTCCGATGGTAGAGGGTAAAGTATCCCTAATCTATAGACGGTGGTGACCTTGGATACAGTTGACCTGAAAGCCAATCAGGAAAGAAATTGAACCTCCCCCGATCCGGCAGATTCCGTTGGATGCTGGTGGTTGGTGTGGAACCTGAGCGATCCACTGAGTAGTTGACTGGGGTGGCTAGATGAGGGTGCCCCGAAATATCTGGGAAGGCAGAGTTTCGCCAGGTAGAGGCCACGGGTGAAGATATGGGCCCCTGTCCCACACATCATACCATACATGCATGTACAGGTTATATTAGCCAAGCTAGACGAGCCGTGAGTTGTGGGCCGGCGACCTGTGGAATGAGATACTTTGAAGCGCAAGTTCTTTCCATCTGCTCCTCTCTATGACTGTGAGATCGGAAGACCTGGTGCTTTAGATGACGCGCTGGCACGATCCAGTGTTATGCACAGTGACCGTAGCATAAGATCTATACTACAGAGTCAATACTTACAATATTGCAGCATCTAAGGACCAGCCTTCTCACAAATGAGACACCGGCACATCTGAGAGATCCCTAGAGCTGTGTTGGTCGTTTATCTGCCTTTGGCCCCATTACCTGTTTGTGTGTGGTTGTTGCAGTGGCCTCAGTGGGCTCCAGACTCACGCAGGGTTGAGCCAGCGGGCCAGCTAGCCATGCGTTATTGCACCTGAGACAAACACGACAAATAAGACCCAGATGAGACAACGCAAGTCATCTAGACAGCCAAAATGGCATCCAAAGGAAAGGCTCTGAACCCACAACCATTACTAAATGAGGCCTCAGCCCCAAAAGTCACCCAGGTAAAAGAATCCAAAATAAAGAAACAAGGATAGGTGATAGCTAATCGTCCATCGGTGGCCGCTCCAGCGAACATAACAACTTGTCTGGCACAATTTGCAAGAAGGCGTGTGTGCCCCAACAGAATCCCAACCTTTCGGTGGAACTCCCAGCGCTGCGAAACCCCGAAGGCGGCCCCAAAAGTCAACAACTCACAAATGGCTCCTTCTGTAAGGGAAGGGCCAGGTAGCAGTGTCTGGTTGGTGTTAGTAGCTGCAGCCATATATCGTCTCCCATGCCCTCTCCATACCTGACATCGCAGCAAAGCAAATGCACGGAATGGCAATTGTTGCACTTCAATCCGTTCCTTGATCAAGACCTATGAAGCATTCCTAGTGGATGGTGCGGATTAAGAAAAGCTTAATCCGTGACTTTGAATCCAAGTAGAAACATCCCCTGAAAGTCGGGCGCTTGAAGTACGCGACAGTTAGCCATATTAAAGCTAAATGGACCCGCCCGCCGCCCGCCACAGTTCGTCCGCATTCAGGGTCGCGCGATTTCTGCATAGTAAATCGTAAGAAAATTTTAAATATCATAAAAAATAATAAAAATGCGATAACGTCAACGCCTTCCTCAGTTTGTTTCGGTGCACGGTGAACTTATTACCGCATGAGACCTCAGGTGGTAAGCTCGCGACATCTATAGAAATATATATAACTAACAAAATCTAGTTATCTTACTTAACGGTTCAGGATAATAGCCCTTTAGCAATATTTGCACCACTCTCCAGCAGACGTTCCGACCAAGTTCAAAAAAACGCTCATGTGTTCTTGTGTACTCTTATATCGGATTCTTATATTACGATAAGCAAAGCAAACAAGCCAAGGAAAATGCCGTACGATGGCAGTAGGCATAACTGAGCGAGCTACCATGGAAGCTTGCGACAGTTGGCCAACAATTGGTGGGGTGGAACGCCAGGTAACTTGCCCTAACTAGGGGACGCTAACTGGCTGATGGAAACCGGCCCATAATGGGGTTGGTGCGCCAAGCCTGCGAAGGGCATATTTACGAATACGTGCAAGCGTGGATCAATCTAACAACTGCCGCCAAAAATGCTTCGGCTGGCGACAAACAACTTAGGGAAGGGGATCTTTCCTTTTTTACAACATCAGACTCGTCCACATAGCGGCGCTTGCTCGATGTAACGACGCAAGGCCCATCTGAGCATCCCGGGTAACGCTTTTGCTGTGTTACACTTGGGTACGGTTAGTAACGAGATTTATGCGGGTATGGAGAACATGACCATGTTTCATAGGTATATTTATATAGAAAATATATAGATTTATGAGATGAATCACGCTTTACCGTAGTCCCACTTATGATTTATGCCTGATGATTTCGGGACACCCTCAAAAACAGCCCTGGAAAAAATTCGCGATTTTTGAAATTCGGGGTCGCGCAGCAATAATTTGCAAGTACGGCACAAAAGTTCGGGGTCGCCGCAGGCTCGGCGTTTCTGCCGTGCTGCATTCCATGCAACAACTTGTTTCTTGAGGAAACACCTATGTACTTGAATACCAAAACATATCAAAGCTAAAGCCATAACCGGATGGCGAGATATTTCCTTATTGATGGTCCTGGGACGACCGACGGGACGGATGCCAGACCGCAAGTCGGCCTCGACAAGCCTTGCTTGACCAGCAGTCTGCGGCCTGCTCACGTTTCTCTGAACTGCTTCCGCCTCCTCACGCTGACGACGTTGCTCTAATGCCTCAGGACATAATCTAGGGCCTTGAAAGCCGGACCGTTTGCTAGGGGATGCGCCATGCGACAGCTTGTGAAGCCCGAAGTCGAAGAGCGTCGACTGCCTTGAGCGAGCAGCTGCGGCTTTCATTTTACAAGTGATAAATGCATACAAATATTTTTCCGCGTTTAACTGGGCATTTAGACCTCCTACGGGTGAGGTTGTTGCGGAATGGTCTCGGAGCACACGTGAATTCGGGGACGCCATTCTTATGGCAAGCCTGTAATTATTACGTGCGATGAATTCGGGGTACCCCCCGAATATTTGAATCACGAATTATTTGTGGGACTACGGTATCGCGCGTTTCGCGAATCAAATGTAGATTAATATGTTATAAAATGCGCACATGCTTCCTATACCAAAAGCTCAAACTCGGTGGAAAAAATATTTGCTACATGCTACTGTAGCTGAGCTGTGAACTAGTGCCCACCACCCCCCTTTGGGCGCAGTGGGGAGGCCAAATATGAATATATTCCGCTAAGGTGGGACCAGGTGGGACGCACTTCCGCTACCCACTGACAAATATACTACAAAAGATTATCAAGAATTGAAATTGTGTTCTCTGGTTCGGTCCTTAACTTTGTAAGGTTGTGTTTCCAGTGCGGATTAAGGCCAGGGATTAGGGCACGGAAGTCCTTGGTACGAGCTTACCACATAGTTTCGTTCCATAAGGGAACCAAAGGTTGAAAAGCGAGGTAGGTTTGCCAACAACTTAGCCGTTTGAGCAAGTATTGATGGAGGACAGAGGGTTAATCCCTGGCCGTAATCCGCACTGGAAATACACCCTAAGGTCCATAAGGTAGCACAATGGCGATCGATCTCAACTCGCAAGCACCAAATGCACGTACGCAAGCAATAGGATAAATCACTGAAATATTTTTGGGCGAGGCCCCGGGCGCGAAGCGCCATTAGGGGGGCCGAGCCCCCTAGGTTCACTGCTGTCAGTCCGTCAGTCCGTCAGTCAGTCATGGCAGTGTTTTTTTTGGTAATATATTACTTTTTTGGGAATAAAGGGGGGTCTGAGCCTGGAAGAAATGGAATCGTTGGTCAGTTGGCCGTACTGGTTCATTACTTCGGCCGTAAGTCGCCCCAAATGCCTTCTGCACATATAAAGCTGAACATTTGGAGCTTATACACCATTTATGTATAAAATATTTGATGATATCACCATGAGACGGCCCGCTGTTGCATTCAACTTAGGTCAACGGGGCATTCGTTCATTCTTGACCAAAGCAAACGGCTCAGAAACTCCGCAGATGCAATGCCCCAAACATTAGAAGAAGAATTAGATAATACAGAAGATAAGGATAGGCATGCTCCCCTAAAGTTCCCCTTTAGAGGAAGAACGAGAGCAAGAGCGGCAAGAGCGGCAGCTGCCGCTCTTGAAGTCAGTGAAGCCAGCGATTTGAGCGAAGTTGAGGATCCCCCGGCGAAGCGGCCACACACAACTGCATCAATCAGCGACTCAGATGCTGACCAGCTTGATTCTGACGAGGAAGGGCCACCGCCCCAAGATGTCGCCACGGCACCACCGCCACCTTCAAGGGCGGGTGCTTCGCAGCACGCGCCGCTGGTGATTCAAAAGCAGGCGCGGCGCCAGCAAACACAGCGTGTGCTGAAAGGCCAAAGCGATGGGAGCTGGCGGGAAAACGAGGGAGTGCGTCGCTTCCAGGCGCACTGGACAGCTTTGTTCGAATAGGCTGAGTGTGTTGCGCCGGATGTGGAGGCTGGCGAGGTGCACGACCGTGTCCGGTGCGGTCCCTGCCCCCTCAGCCGGCGGCGGGACATCACGATGGATGCCAGGCAGGCCACACTAAAAAGCCACGAGCTCGCAGTGTTGTTTACAGCACACCGCACAGCCTTTGAGGGGGGGGTCTGGGGGGGGCGCGGCCCCCCTCAGCGACTATACAAATAGGAATTGTAACCGCAAGAAACACCCAGTTTATTACTCTAGGGTACTAGGCCCCAACCGAAAAAAAAACAGAGTCATGGTGTAACATTTCATCTTATTTCGCCCCGATTAAAATTGCTTCTGAAAGCTATTCTTATTCTCTATCGATGGACCAATGGAATTGTGGCGGCTTGCATAACAAATTGCGGAATGCGAGGCGAAGTGCACTCTTGCTTACTTCTGAAGTCGATAGTCGCAACTCGCAACTTGCAAGGAACAAGCAAAATTTCTATTATTCTTTTCACTGAAACTCAGTTCCCCCTTTTGGACGCTAGTCTGGGCTGATGTGCGGTGCTTTCCTTTCCTCCGTGGCTTTTAGGCGTTGTAGTATTGCCCTTGGGCCTTCGGCTCGTATGGGTAGTCTTACAGGTATGGGGTCACGCACCCCCAACCATGTAACACACACACACACACACACACACACACACACACAGAGAGAGAAGCTATTTGTAAAATAGTTAAACAAGTAGCTTCATCCTCCCTGGCCGGCATTATGTCCAAGGACAAACTCCAGATGATCGCTTTTCAGGCAGTCTTGGACTCCCTTTCGCTGGGGCCCGAGGTGGCCTTGGAACACCGGTGTGGTGGATAGCGCAGAGGTCTGCAAAGATTAGGGATTGGGTTCGGGTACCGGTCAGGAAGAAATTAGGATGCGGAAAGAGGGGCAGGATTAGGATACAAAGTTAATGCCAGGTTTAGGATGAGGACCCGAGTGTACGATTAGGATGGGGACCTCACCCACAGGATTAGGATTGGGAACCCCCCATACACAGGATTCGGATAAATACCGCATATCCAGGATTAGGATTAGTTCACTGGTATTGGATGAAGATTAGTACACTGCAAGGTACCAAGGCCCCGCGTCTACTCCGGAACCAGGGAACGAGCCGAAACTTGACCAGGTCTGCGGAAACTTTTCGTAATCGGGAGGCCCTTTGCGGAAAGGCTGCGGAAACTGCGGAAAGCTGCGAAAACTATAAAATGAATATTTAACGATGTTTTTTAGCTCTTCTCAGTGTGGCGATAACATGGACAGTCTGAAACCAGCTTATGGCAGTGCGGTTCTGTCCGGTGGGATCTAGAATCTGGTGGATTCTAATCGTGCTCGAAGGTAGAGCCATCTAAACGTATTACTGGGGGTGGCGGGGGCCAAGCGATCAACTATTGTGTGCCCACACCCTTGACGGTGTTCACCCTGCCCCCTTCAAGCAGCCCGCCTCTCTTTGAACCCTGAGACCCCAGGCCTGAGCAGCCCTATCGTATACCACCCCCATAGTGTTGTTGGCTGACGGATTGCTCTGGGATGCTCAGAAATTGCCACTCGTATGTTACATGGGGTAAGGGCCCGGGGAGCCCTGAAACACTGAATAATAATCGTCTCCCTGTCCGTTGCGGAGCAGTGACATGTCTGCATGCCTACTCCACATACCCGTCCGGCATGCCTGCATGCCTCACGGACAAGTCTATGCTGACTGTGCATTAATCCAGTAATCGTCTAAACAATATGAATTCAATATTAAAAAAATCAAAAGGAATAAAAAAGGCGAGAGGGCTAAAGTATCTAAAAATGGCACCGCACAACGATAACTGCAACGACGTGGCTCTGTTCAACTTCAACCACGTTTACGGACATTGTGGAATCAATTATCAAAAACCCTTCTTCTGAGCAGAAACACAGTCAATCTCTGTGACTTCGGCAGCCCCCAGGTCGGGGCCAGTGGTTGTTGACATTTGACTTAATCTAATAACTCTGTAGTTTAAAACGCAGTCTTTAAATGGCAAACGCATGCCTGGAATCTGTTTTTCAATTTCCGCCGTACAGCAAACGCGGAAATGCGGATTTTCTTTCCGCATTTCTGCCAATCTGAGCTTCGCTGCGGAAAGCGTGACGAAACCTATTTACGCAGGTTTCCGTTTCCGCAGGTTTCCGTTTCGGCTCGTTCCCTGTCCGGAACCAACTGCACGACATTGAGGGACGCTTCCAAAGGCAGTCGAGTGGTGATGAATGTGTGTACTTACGCAACATGAGTAGGTTAAATGTCGGGAACTGTATGGACAATTCTACTACTGTGCGCACACGTTAACATCTTTGGCTCAGGGCCAAAGATGTTGAGTCAACATCTTATGTCGACATCGTTTCATGAGGCATGTCCTGCTTATCGGGTTGTACTTCGTAGCTGTAAAAGCCCCTGCACTCTGGGAAAGGCCATTGTCCATAAAGAGTTCAGGATCCATATTGTGTGGTTCCCTATCCGTAAAATGCACTTTCGCCAGGATATGGAAGACCGTGTATTACACGTGTTGTGTCAACTTTATGGCTCTAATGCGGTATGCTAGCCCGCTTAAGAGTCCTGTTTGGAGCGACTTAAGCAGGCTAGCATACCGCATTAGAGCCATAAAGTTGACACACAAACTGAATAACAATATCGTGATAAATAGCAACACAGTTCCCTAAGGGCGCTCAATCTCCGTACATTGTGGCGCGCTTCATTGAGAACCTAAGAAACCGGGTGGCGAAATATGTAATCCGAGCCCTTTCTGGTTCTGAGAACTGTCTCCTTAAGAAACGCGGTAAGCAGTGACTTGTCTAGACCCTCTAGCGCTAAGTAATCTCTCAGGTCTTGTTCTCTAGGCGTAAGGATATGCGACGGACAGCCTACATGACAGAGATCACTCTGGTTAAGGCCACCGAGGGTCGTTTCTCCACTCCATGTTGACGGCAATACATGTTCAAGCATAAGCGTGAATAATCCTATATACAATGAACTAATTAACAAATAAAACGGCAGATTACAATCTGTTCGCTCGCCTTCACGCCTGGAAAGCCCTCCCAAGCTGTCCTGTATCGCCCTTTACCGCCGTCATCCCGCCTTTTGCCCCTTCCCTTAAGTGCAGCAGAATACGAAGAGATAAGTAGCGAACGCAAACACGGGGTACGAATCTACACATACAACTACATACACGGTTGCGTCTAACACCACCTACTGTTCCGGTTGGCGGTTGGAGGTTCGCGGTTGGAGGTTGGCAGTTGCTCCTTCCGCGGTTAAGTAGGCAAACCCAAATCCAGCAGCCCAGACCCCCTCATCTCCCTCCCCCATGCCCCTACCACAGCCCTGTACGGCCCGTCTTAATGAACCCCCAAGCCACCCGAAACCCATTTCCCCCTCCCCTCCCCCTCCCCTCCCCCTCCCCTCCCCCTCCCCCACCTCCCCGGACACCAGCTCAACTTAACAACAAGTATATGCTCCGAAACATCTCCGCGCCGTACAGAAGTACAACACGGGGACATACCTCAGGACCCGGGGAAAGCAAGACGTTCTGTTGCAAACCAAAGTTAGGAGTGATTGTGTATGTACGGCAGCACTGCAATACCGATAAGCTACCTTAAAAAAACGACAAGCCGCAGCAAAACCATTAAAACGGACGTGTACGGCAAATAGCTTCATTTGCTGCTGAAGGTACGAAAACTAACAATCTGCGCGCACGCGACATCAAACATCATCACAGCGGGTGATGGACACCTCGCCCTGAAGGTGCCCCCACACCTCCACCTCCACCTCCTACCGCACCGCCACCTCCCTGCAGGTCCACCTCCCCCAACACTGAACCAGATCCGAAACCAAAACCCAAACCCCCCTTCGTTCCCGCCTGCTGCTGTTGTGATACCGCACCACTGAAGCCGCTGCCAGCAATCCCCCCTGCCACCGCGCTGCTGCTGCTGCTGCCACTGCCGCTACCGCCGCCACACCCGCCGTACGACGGCGGGACCGCCACGAACTGCTGTTGGTTTTGATGGTTGTGGTTATGGTGGTTATTGTGGTTGCAGCGCTCTGACGGCGACTGTAGCTTCTGGGGTTGTGACCCGGCGGATGCCCCGGAGGGCACTGGCCCGGCGCCTCCTCCTCCTCCCCCTCCCCCGGCTGCCGCTGCCGCTGCCGCTGCCGGCGGTCCCCTACCGCCCGTCAAAATTGACTTGGCGGCCAGCAGTTGATCGGATGTGGCTTGAAGCTCCCCGGCCGCCTGGTTGATATGATGATTATGATGACGATGAGGAGGAGGGGGGGGATTGTGGGGATGTTGTTAGGGTCATGAGGATTGAAGATTTTAGAATTTTAGGGGTTTGGGTAAAATTTAGGGTGTGACATTGCGCGTGCTTTCTACATCCCACTCGCTTTTTTATCTCCCCACACCCATACACCCATACACCCATACACTCGCGCGCGGCCCTGATTCGCTTGCACACCATGCCCCGAACCTACACACACATACCGACAGACAGACAGACACAGACACAAACACATGCATGACACACACATGCATACAGACGCACACAGACACACACATTTCCTTCTCACGGCTGAGGTTGTTAAAGCACCCCCCCACACCCCCACAACCACCCAAATAATACCTGCAGCCATATCTCCAAATGTCGCTGCGAGCAGGCCGACATGATGGCTGCGTAGTGCTGCAACATGGCCAACATATCAGTCCGCAGCTCGGAGCGGAGCCGGGACACTTCCTGGGGGTGGGTGTTTTGTGTTTTGCGATGACGTGGCAGCAAATCAGTTTTAGTCGGGTTTTAGCCGGTTTTATCAGATTTCGAATTGGTTTTAGCAGGTTTTGTTAGTTTATTACAGAACATGCGCTGAACCATAATTTTGCTTTTTGTCTGCAAAGTTCAGGGCTGTTCATCCAGGGGATATGTACATATGTATATATGTAGGTATGGACGCATGCACGTGGGAAACAGAAGGGGCGGGGGGGGGACACCGGTACCCCCCGGAGTCGACCCGCCGTACACAAGACTCAAGCATGCGAGTAATGCGTGTGTGGTACGAACGGATGGTAAGGAAAAGAGGTAAGTGGCAAGGAAACGAGTTTTTGCGCAACTCGAGGCTTAGGGACAGAGAACACTTTACCGGTCGAGGCTCTTCTCCGGAACTTCCGTACCTGCTGGTTAACTTCCTTGATCCTGTCGTACCGCGCCTGCGCCGCCACCACGGATTGCTCCAGCACCGCCACGTCGCCGCTCAACTCAACCACCTGTACGACATACATACGAGATCAAGTACGACATGAGTGTGGAGGAAAATTCCATGCGACCCCCAACCCCTACACCCTTTCCAAAACACACACACGCACATACAGACAGACAGACAGACATACAGACAGACGCAATTAAACACGCACTATTAGACCACCTTCGCCAGTTCCCTCATCGCAGCTAGATCATTAAATCACACACGCATACACTCACCCTTTTCGCCTTGGCGGCATCTCCTCCAAAGACTTTAGCTCCCGCCGCCTCCAGTTCCGAAATGGCTTTCCGCCGCGCCTCCAAATCCGATTGCAACGTGTCGGCGGTTAGGAGGGCCTTATCGCGGGCCCGCAGGCCCTTCAGGGCGGCCTGGTTGGGGGAGGGCGGCGTGATTTGGGGTGTGTGTGTGTGTTTTGTGGGTGGAGGGTAGGTGGGTTTATAGTGGACCTCATTATGATGATGTGGGGCAAACTGCGCCGAAAGATCACCACCCCCTTGCGAGGTGAGATGTGTGTGTGTGTGGCGGGGGGGGGGGTGGTACAGGGGTTAAAGACGAACCACACACGATTGAAGAGAGGGTACACGGGGGGATGTCCTCATCATGTGCAGCAAAAAGCGCCAACGGGCCAGGGCGTCCATTACCCTAACACGCCCAAAGCGTATGATGAGGGGAGAAAGGGGGTGAGGAAAGTGGGGAGATAAAACACGGCACGGACACGGCACGACACGGATACTCGTACCGGCATCAGACCCAAATACTCGTGCAGGCAGCCGAGCTCGATGGCGCAGCGACCCGTTACCTGAGGGGGAGGGTGGGGGGGTGGGGGGGGGAGGTTGAGATTGGGGGTTGAGGTGGGGGATTGGAACCGTGTGGCGATACACAAACCCCAGAGAGCGCCACTGGAAATCAACTGCCCGTACGAGGTCACGAGGGGAGAAAGGACCGCTGGAAAAGACTCCCAAGGCACACATCAGCAGCGCGATTACTCTCTATGCCGTACCTTCCGGCCAATACGACTGGATCGTACGAGTGCCGTACCCACTCGCTCCGTGTCGTGCATGAGGGTGCCGCTCTGCTTGAGCTGCAATTTTTGGGTCGGGGTGTGTGCCGTCGGGGTGTGTGTGGGGGGGAGAGGGGCGGTCGGGGGAAATGATTTTCTGAGACGGGAGGGCAGGAAATGGTGGTGGTGGAGATGGTTCTGACAGGGCAAGCGGGGCTGGTGGCGGTGGTTGCAGTGGTGGTTGCAGTGGTGGTTGTAGTGGTAGTTACAACCACCCCGTGGTGGTGATGCTCGTGGTGGTGGTGGTGATGCAAGTCATCGACGCGGGGGGCGAGATGTGTTTAATGGTGGAGCTAGCGACGATGGCGCAAACGACAGACATCCAATAACATTATCATATGGTGCCATAAGAGAGTTTGTAAGCATGTCAGTATGCAGGTATGTGTCGTACACGATGGTCCTTATGCCGTACCGTTCCGGTGTGGTTAGCCAGAGCCACTCCCTCCGCTTTCTCCGCATTCCTCATTTGCAACAGCGCGAGCCCCAACTCCCCATTCACCACTGACCAGCGGTCCAGGCGGGAAACAAACTTCTCAGCCTGGGGGTGGGGGTTAAGGGGTGGGGGTTAGGGGTTAACGACACGGGGTCTTAGGGTTTTTGGGGGGGCTTTAATGGGGTTGGGGGTTTAAGGTTACAGACTACGAATCGGCGATGGGTGAAGGGAAAAACCTAGTGCGTATGTATGTATGTATGTATGTATGTATGTATGTATGTATGTATGTATGTATGTATGTATGTATGTATGTATGTATGTATGTATGTATGTATGTATGTATGTATGTATGTATGTATATGCGTATGTGCCAGGAAGAGAGATGCACAGAAAAAAGGATTCAGTACTGGCCAAGGCGCGGGACACCCTGCCCTGCCCTCTATACCCTTCCATTTGCATGCCCAAACCCTAGCACGTTAAGACCCTAAGATACGTAAACAACTATAATCCACCTGGCCCTCCCCCCATACACTTCCCACTTTACACAGCCACCAAAACCCCATTACCCCCTCCCTCTCCCCCTCCCACTCTTTCCCTTGCTCTCTTGCCCTTCTTTCCCTCCTCTCTCTCCCCCCCTCTCTCCCCTGTCTCTCCCCCTCTCTCTCCCCTCTCTCT